CTATTCAGGTTGTAAATCGTGTTTTTAAAAAGTAACTAAGTAACTAAGTAATTAATTACTTTTGAAAATAAGTAATCAGTAAAGTAACGGGATTACTTTTGGGGGGAAGTAATCAGTAATTAGTTACTGATTACTTTAATCAAGTAACTTGACCAACACTGCTCGCAATAAGGTTAAAATTAGCTACATCAGCTAATGCTTTTGACCCTATATAGCATGCTTGAGCACACCCAAAAAGAGTCTAAACTCGCTTATCATGATGTTATGATGGTATGTCCAAGAGCAGCCTGTATTCAGAGTTCAGGATCCCTTTATATTAAAAATCACAAGAAAAAATTAAGCTGAGCAGATGAGAAGAATTTTATCAGTTTTACAAAAGACAACAAAATTCAGTCACAGGTTTATTGGTATGCAAAGATTTGAAAGAAGAGTCGAAAGAGAAGCACTCTCACTAATGGAGGGTAACAAGAGGAAGCACTCACGTTTTTTACTCCAGAGTGTTCCCACATAGCAGACAGGTCTGGCCCGGATCTGGTGTCTAGCTGCCACTGCTGGCTGACTTCTGGCATGGTAAGTGGTATGTCATCCAGATATGGGCCAGGCCTGGCATAGGTGGCACTGTCTATGTGATGACACGCCACATCTGGCCCGATTACGGTTTGGTTTATGTGGCCCAGGCTCATTGAAAACAGGTCTGGCCTGGATCCAGCATCAAGCTGGCACTTCTGACTGACTGATGTCATGGCAGGGTGTATGTCAACCAGATGTGGGCCAGGTCTGGCAATGATGGCACTATTTATGTTCCTATTTTCCTATTTTAGTTAGAAGACCCAAATGCCATGTTACAATACTATACTGCTATCTATGGTAACCAACATTTCAAATGCAGGTTTGACAGGTTTGTGAGTGTACATTTTATCTAAAACCTAGTGAGGGTTTACTCATGTTTCGCACTGGGTGGCTGTAGCTCAGGAGGTAGCGCAGGTCACCTACTGATCGGAAGGTTAGCGGTTCGATCAGTAGGTCGAACTGACCTACTGTCTGCATGTCTGCATGTCAAGAGTGTGAATGTGTATAAATGTAGTTAGGAAGCGTAGTTAGGAAGCACTCAGTTTAGAGAAAGTGGGTGAATGTGGCATGTTGTATAGAACACTTTGAATAATCTGGGAGAGTAGAAAAGTGCTATGTAAGAATCAGTCCATTCACTATCTGAACAGAGTTTCGTCACGTTATTTTTGCACTATTATGTTCCGGCACATGTTGTTATTACATGGCTTGATTAAGGTACACATTAGGCTGACATCTGGGGCCAGAGCTGAAACTGTTCTGGGCCAGCACAGGGCCAGCAGTATGTCTGCAACGGGCCTTGTGCTGGCCCATGTGTGGGCCACCTGTGGCAAACCAGATCTGGGCCACCAAAGGGCCGTCATTCTTTGCAGTATGTGGGCCATGTGTAAGCACATTGTGTGAGCGCACAAATCACCACCAAAACACAGCACAAGCCCTGCCAGTGATTCAGTTCCTTACAAACCATTGAATTAGGTACTGAAGCAGTGACATGCCGAATGAAGCTTCAGACGTCATTGATCATACGACTCTGTTCAGACACAGGCACAGTGTTTCTGAAGCAGTGTGTTGATTTTTGTGACACATGCGCCAGAGCTTCAGCTTCAAACGGGCCAGCACTACAAACAGGAGGTGGAGGTGGAACTCTCTCAACCTGTTACTAATAGGCAATAATAAAAAAAAATAAATAAAACAACGAAGAGCATAAAATATCCCTATGTGCTGCTGATACAATACTATTTCTAACAGAACCCAATCTTACAATATCATACCTAAAAAACATTATTCTAGACTATGGATATTACTCAAGTTACAAGGTTAACATAGATAAGACCAAGGCAATGGATATAAATGGGACAATTCCAGAAAATATTAAAGTACAAAGTGAATTAAAATGGTCTAAAGTGGGTATTAAATACTGTAGGATTAAACAAGTTATTTTACTGCTATTTTATTATCAGTATTATCATTGCATTAGAACCATTAAAGCATTTATTGAAGCTGTTAACATTACATTAAAGTCTGTATTACAGGTGGTATCATAATCATATAATAATCTTTCATTGCAGGAGCAACTGTAATCATTTTATACACATTGCATTTTGGTGCTTATTAAAGAGTTGAAGCTCGGTCAGTTAATTGATGGTCAGAAGCTTCGTCCGGCGCGATGCCGATCTATTGAGCAAAGTGGCCTAGAGCTATGGAAAGATTGCATACACGCTTACAATACATATATCACATAATCTAGAAACAGGCCTGAATAAAGACCTGAGTGTATTCAGCAACCTGCTGTGTTTGAGTTTGCTTGGTAACAGATGACTCAGAATAAGTCAGGATGTGTACTTCTGAAATGTCTTTGTTTCCTCTGTAAAGTGTGCATTTTTTGGTGTTTATTTTGAGGAGCTGTCTGGATGAGTCCATTTGAATAACCAGGTTATTCATTGTTATCTTTTATTCTTTTTATATTCTTTTATGAAGTTTTAAGTAGTATCATTTGATTACAACATTTATTCAATATATTACACATATAGTTTCAGTTGTGTACGTGCTGGCCTTCTGTCTGGTGGAAAGGTTACAAGATTTAGCTGGTGAGGTGAGAGGTGAAACTGAGTGCATTTCAGGTTGACACAACCACACACACACTTAGAATCCCTCAAAATATTTTGCTTGTGACTGCAAAATTGTGCCTGCAAAAGAACGTTTTGTTGCAGAATGTGTGCCTGATGTTCCAGACGATAAGCGAGTGTCCGGCAGCGACAGAAAGACACCTGGGATGGAGACGAGGCGATGTGGTTTTTTCAAACTGTGTTAAAAGTCATTGTGGTTTTGAAACTTATGCATCTATTGTATCTGCTTGACGCATGAGGGGGCGTCATAAAAATAAACCCTGATGGTATAAAACAACTGCTTGTGTATTGTTAGGGAGAGATTGATGCTGTCTGCGTACAGTGTTCATCTCCCACACGTGTGTTCATTAAAATCATCGTTTGACCGACCCTCCTGTATCCCTCCTCAATATTTGAACCCTTAACAATACTTGGGAATTTTCATTCCCATACCTTTGGACCACTTGTTTGAGAAAAATTCTAATAAAATAATTCAACATATCAGCAATGATTGAGAGAAGTGGTCTATTCTCCTCCTGTCCCTAATGAGCTGAGTTGAATGTATATGTATGAATGTTCTGCCCAGACTATTCTATTTATTTTACAGATGATACCAGTTAAAAAAAAATCCAAATGACAATGCTTGATAAGCTGGACAAAATAACTTCTAACTTCATATGGGATAAACAGCAGCGTAGAATTAGACTCAAGACCCTGCAGTTGTTCAAGATAAGGGGGGGGTATTAATGTTCCTAATTTTAAACATTACTACTGGGCTGCACAAATAAAACCTTTGCTGACATGGCTGCAAAGTGATATTCATACTCGCTGGCTCAATATAGAAAATAGCAAATATCCTGAACCAATGGAAACACTTCCTTTTCTAGATAGTCTCGTAAAATAAATGGCAGTCTTCTAATACATTAGAATTTTGGAACAAAATTCTGTCAGCACTGGGACCACCAAAGTATCATTCATCACTATCAAGCATTGGATCTATGAAACCCTTTTCCCTGTCCACTTTTTAAATGCAGTATTTGGATACTGCATATAATGGACTGAAATGTGTACATCAACTATTGGAACAAGTGAACTTTAAGACATTTGAACATCTGAAGAATGAATTTAATCTCCCC